TGAGCAAACCACAGCAGCCCAAGGAGAAAATCTTTTAGATAACTTGCAATAAACAACCATGAGACCGAACAACAGAGACTGCTGAGCCTTTTTTGGAAGCTCGGGCTGGAGGAGAGACTTTACCACCACACGGAGCCACCCCTGACCCAGGGTGGGCTCTGGCAGTGGGGAAGGGCGAGGGGTGGTGTCTGTGGATAGGGGACGGGGTGAAGGAGATTCAGCACTGCAAAGGGACGCGGTGGCAATCCCAATTTTTCTGAAGGTGTATGGAAATGTGCTATGGAATCAGCTCTTTGTGGCCACCCACGTGTCTATGTGTTTTAATCACGTAGCCAGAGGCACTAAAGTTTTTACTCTCTAAGCCAAAACCTGTAGGAGATGACTGCTTGCTTGGTGTCTGTGAGAAGTGGCATTTGTGCTGGAGAGCTGCAGTGGGGAAGAGAAGATGGACTAAACGTGCTCTGGGTTTGGGCACGGGAGGAAACACTTGCACAGAAAGGCAAAGCAGCGGCGATTCCTGAGGAAAAATGAGAGGTGGTTGCTTGAGATCTGTGGGGGCTTTCCTTTGGAATGATCGATCAGAGTGAGGAAGCAGAGAGCATCTTCTGGCTATTTCTGCTCTGGAAACTTCTCTCTGTCTTCACAGGTCCGTGCTGGAGAGTGGGAGAAAGGTCCCTGCTGGTTGCCAGGTGTGAAAAATGCATATTTTATGATTGGCTTATTGCAAATATTACAATGAATATTATATGTGTAATGTTAGAAAGTTATGCTGTATTAATTCTCTTACACAGTGTGCTAAATGTAGTTTTAGGTTACAACATAATGTTAAAACAGAGACTATGTATGTGGGGGAAGTTTTTTTTTAGGAATGAGATTCTCACTTTGAGGAACACCTAAATCTTCCAAAGGAGAGGAATTTATGGCTTCTTATCAGAAGAAGTGAATTTCTTCAGGCCTTGCTCAGACTCGAAGACGCCAGGGGATTAAAGGAAACAGTTGACATACAACAGACAGAGTTTCTTGTTTAGAATAGAATGTATGGATAACCATAAAGGATGTATGAATATGCAACAAGTGTATTGTTTTAAGGGTGATCCCTTACATAACAAGTTATGCTTTTTGTGACTTAGTGTCTGAGAGCATCCAGACGTCCAGATTTTATTGTCTTGTAATTGTCCTAACTCTAAACTTTATTGCTCTAATTGTATGATTATTTTTATAACCATTTTATTATCATTAAACTTTTAAAATTGTAAAAACCAAGTGATTGGTGTTTTTCACACAGGTCCTCAGTGGGCAGAGAGCTCTGACCTTGGCCAGGTGGGCTGGTGAGTCTGAATCAATCCCTGCCTCCAGGAGCTGGCATCCGTGCTTGTGGATTGGGAGCACTCCCCTCTTCCACAGTGCCAGCTTTTTCTCTTACATGTACATAAAGGTAAAGAGATTCCTTCTGTCACACCAGTATTTGCACCTGAGGAAGGTACCGGGGTTTTTCCAGCTTTTCTGCAGTTTTGATTTTGAGGTAAGAGTCTCATTTTAGGCATCCAGTAATTCTTCAGGAACGTATTAAAAACAGCCGTAAAAATGCACTGAAACCCCATTCTCCCACAGATAGTCAATTAGAAGCATCTTTCTTCTGTTTCATATTGGAATTAAAAATGTTATTTCTGTGGGGGTTTTGTTGTTTTCTTAACACTAACACACGATGAGCTGTGCTGTGTATGCTCTGTGAGCACAAGAAAACAGAATATTCTGCTCCAACTAGCTGCAATTCCTCTTTGGGCTTAGATTAGTAACTTTGAGTTCAACTGAAGTATTTTAGAAACAGCACCTTGTAGAATTCCATTTCCACTGCATGTTTGGGCTGCAGACTGACTGTTCCCAATGGCTGTTAGTGATTAAATTTGATAGGAATGGAAATGGAGAAGTCCAGAAGAAGCCCTGAGCTGGCACTCAGAGGGAACCAGGGTTTTGTGCTCTTAGGAGCAGGTATTCCTTGGGAATGTCTGAATGTCTGATGGTGGGGGTTTTTTTTTTGGTTTTTTTTTTGTGGCTTCCAGTACAAAACAGACTGTGAGTGGATTTCTTGGGGAAGGGCTGTGTGACAAACATTGCTATGAGTTTTATGACTAGCAGAGGATTTTCCATGTCATTCTTTCCTTTTTCAACAGTCCTTTGTGTGACGAGGGCTCCCAGGCAAGAATTGAAAAAGAAAGTTCCAAGAAACCCCAAACCACAGAAGCTTGCGTGGCTTCGAGATCTCAAGTACCAAACAAAGGAACAGTTGACTCTGCCTTGGTCCTCTTGAAAATCTGTTCCTTGTTGGTTTTGTCTATGTGTGGAGGGGGAAATAATTGTTTGTGTCTAAACCAGTCCCATCCTTATCCCCTGAAACTGGAGCAGGTTCCTGCCATATGGAGCCTCACGTTTTGCTCCTGCAGTTGGGGGCTTTTCTTTTTGGGGTCTCTATTCCCCAGCCAGCACATTTGTTACCTGAGCAGTGCTTCAGCAGGAGGGAATCTCACGTGCCAGGAGCTCTCAGGTTTGGGAGCATCCACCCTGAGCATTTCAGGTATCAAAACTTTGGAGAAAAAGAGAAAATTGCATTGCTACCTGAATGCTTCTTGTAAGAGCAGCACCTGTAGTATGAAGTGCTGGGGAGTGTCTTTCCTTCTCTGGAGTGCTGAGAACAGGTGGTGTTCATTTTACCTGGAAGTTGATCAGATACCAGCCAAATTGCTCCTTTTTGGTTAGATAATTAGATCTGGGCTGTAAAAGAACAAGTTGCATTTTCTGTTTCAGAGCCGTGTTCTGGAGATTTTACAAAGTGCTGCCCTTGCCACCAGAGCTGACAGAGGATCCCAGCCTCCTCACGTGGCTCCTGCCCAGCTTGGAGAAAAGGTAACCAGAGGAGTACAGGAGAAATGGGAACAATTTTCCTGTCCACAGGAGAAGAATTCTGTGGCTGAGGATAAAAGCAAGAGTGACAGAAATGGAGACAGGGACACCAAGGGCTGCCCTGGCAGAACTCGCTGAACTCTGAGGCCTCCCTTGTGCTTTTGAAAAGAGAATCAAGATGCTTTCAGGTTGTGGTAGGTGGGATGATGGTTTTGTGATTTGGAAATCACTGCCTTGAAAAAGCAAGATGACACCTTGTGCTGGTGTCTTTACCTTTTAAATGTCAAGCCCCCTCAGTTCCCATCCTGTCGCAGGACCTGCTGCACAGGAGGAGGCACAGTGATGGATTTGAGCTGTCTGGAACATTATTTCTCCTGCCCTTGCCTCTCCCTCACAAAAAATCTCTTCTGCTAACATCGAGTGCCCTGACAGGTTCAGGCACGTGCACCAAAATTGTGCTTGAATATGGTCCCTGTAGGAGATGGGCCAGCTGCTGATGAGGATCTGCCTTTCAAATGTGGTTTTCTTTTTTTTTTTTTCTTTTTTTTTTTTTGTTTTGTTTTTCAGGCTTCTGGAGAACAAGGTGATAAATAATTTCCTTACTCCATACTCTATGGCTAATAAATTTAGAAGACAGAGAGGAAACAAGAAGCAATCCCAGGAGAAGAATTGGGAATTGTTGGGAATTGTTTCCCTTGGTGTTTTCATTAGAACTTGTAACCCACTGTTCTCCCACTGGTTATTTGGAGAAGGAAGAATAATAGTACCAAGAGGATGCTGTCATGGAAAAATGTCTATTTACATCTTCTTAGAGTATAAAAATGCCTGGAAGGTGGCAGACTTCTCTGCTTCTTTTGGTGGGGTCAGAACAAGTGGGACTAAAAAGTCACGATGAGATCAGTTTACCCTGCTTTTTAATGGAAATAAGGCTGATGAGGTCACTCTTAGGCATATTTTGGGTAATTTCCTCCCTAAAACTGACAACAAATTTCAATTAAATTTAACAGACAGTGAGCATCTTGCCTCAGAAGCACAGTTTCTACAAATTTCAAGAAGACAGGCAGCCGAAGAAAAATACCCCATCAACTGCCAGTGGGGGAAGTGCCACAACACAGATGCCACCTCTGTTATGCACCAGATGATCCAAATGGTAGGAAAATGTTATTAAGGAGAAAACAGGGGAAAGGTTTATTCCTGATTTTTGGGTTTTGCTACACCAGCCACATGCCAGAGACTTGCATCCAGCTTAGCTAAGCAGTTTGGGGTTTCCCCAGTGGAATTTGGGGGTAATCATCTGCCTTAACTTTAAAATCAAGAGAATCAAAGGAGTTTCTCATAAGTTGCCTGGTCCCAGCAGCACCAAATGTTGCAGTACCAGATTAGAGAGCAAGATTTCCTGTAGGGAAGGTTGTGGATAATCACACCACTTTCTTTAAGGTGTGGTGCTCCAAGTTTGGAAGCAATAAACCCTCGGCTGAGCTGAATACACAGAAAATCTTTTCCAGAGGTGGTGCAGAGTAACTTTCTGCTCCTTTTTCCTACTGCTGTCCAGGCAAATGAAGGACAAGCATCTCCTACCACAGAATCCAACCTTCACCATCAGAAAAGCAGTTTGTTGCATTGTTAGTGAGAGAGACATGAAGATATTCTGAAAGGCCATCACATTTTCCTGGAATATGTAAATAATTTCACTGTGATAACCTTGGGAAAAACAATTTTAGTCTCTGAATCCACATCTGAACAGTTGCAGCCACCTTCAGTAAACTAAAGAGCAATGAGTAAAGCCCATAACTTTGTTAATGAACTGAAGACACAACCACAGGCAGAGGCTTGACAGGAATCAAGGGAAAGCACTGCCCAAGTGACTCCAAGACTCCTTGGTCTTTGTCAGCCCACCCATCACCCTTGGTTAATCTGCTGGGACCCAGCTTGTCATTTTATCTTAGCAAAACCTAACCAGTGCTGTTCCATCAGAAAAACCAAAATCATCTGCCACTACAAGTAGCCATAACAGGGCACTGCTGCTCCACTGTGCAGAGCCAGGTGTGGAATGGAACGAGCTATGGCAAGGTCAGGTGAGTGAATGCTGCTTCCTATCCTTTGGGAATAAACTGCAAAGCCCAGCAGAATCAGTTTCCACAGCAGCAAAGCATTTGCACAATCATGGTCACTATTATTTTATTGGTTCAGCAGCACTAAATCAAAGGAGGAAATGTCAAAGAATATGTTTGGAGCTTCTTGTTCCTGGCTACTGGAAACACACACTCCGTTTACTAAAAGTCTGAATGTTTACCAGTTGCAGTGTCAGCCTTGTCCCAAGATGAAAACACAGTATTTTTATGAAAACCTCTCCTCTTTCAGTGAACTTTGGTGACAGCAGCACACAGGTAACTAGCACCCCACACTACAGATTCACAAGTCATCAAATTTCCCCTTAGCAAATGACTCAAAAAAAAAAAAAATCTGTCCTTGTAAAGAAGAATTAGTGTCAGCAGTCTTATAGCTTCAAATACTGTAAGGTAAAGCCCAGAATTGCACAGCTGGTGCCTGTGCCAGGCACTCTGGGGTCCTGCAGCTCAAGGGCTGCCTTGGGACTGAGAACATCTCCTGGCTGTGAGTGTTCATGGATGGCAGAGATGTAGCAGCAGCCCTGAAAATGCAATCCTCGCTTCTTGCTGGACACTCGTGTTACTTCTCAGGATGTTTTAAACAGAGATGGGTGCCCTGTAACCCAGGGACAGGGTGGGCAAGTGCCAGCTGGATCACAAACCCTTCTCTCCGAGCAGTGTGTGGTTCCTGGCAGCTCCTGAGCACAGCCAGGCTGGAAAACATTCCTGAAGGCATCTGGATGGGAAGGGCTGGGCTCTTAGGGGCCACGCCAGGAGTGGCTGAGGGCACTTGGCTTCTTCAGCCTGGAGGAGATGAACAGCTGGAGCTGGGGCTGGAGGGGTTCAGCTTGGAGACCAGGAAAGGTGCTGGCACTGCCCAGGGCACGGGCACAGCCCCGAGGCTGCCAGAGCTGCAGGAGCCTTTGGAGAGCATTGCCAGGGATGCCCAGGGTGGGGTTGGTGGGGTCTGGGCAGGGCAGGGTGGCACTGGATGGTCCCTGGGGGTCCCTTCCAGCTCAGGGGGGGTCTCTGACTTAGGAGTGACCTGATAAAAGCCTGGTCAAGGGTCCAGAGTGCTCGTGTCCCCCAGAGCCCCTGGAACTCTGATGTGGGTGCTCTGTGGCCTCAGGCAGAGGGATTCCTCACAGGGACACAGAGCCATTGGGATGGGAATGGCCCTAGGATGAAGGAAGGCAGGGTTAGATGAAATATCAGAGGAAATTTTTCCCTGGGAGGATGGGCAGACCCTGGCACAGGTGCCCAGAGCAGCTGTGGCTGCCCCTGGATCCCTGGCAGTGTCCCAGGCCAGGCTGGACACTGGGATTGGAGCAGCCTGGGACACTGGAAGGTGTCCCTGCCATGGCAGGGGGTGGAATGGGATGAGCTTTAATGTCACAATTTAGTGATTCTGATAGCCAGCCTGAGGAGCTGTTGCAAATTCAGGCTGAAAGATGAAAGCTCATCATTTACACTGTGTAAAGCAGGAATGAATGCTTAAAAAAAATATAACGCATGATTATTTTATTTTTTAAGAAAAGGGATGGGGAGAGATGCTTCCTTTTATTTTCTTCAGAATAAATGTTATTTCTTATTTCTTACTTACAGCATGGTAGAAAGCTTATTCTGCTGTGACTGCTCAAGGACACTCCAGGTGCAGCTCAAGGAACTTCGACTACAAGAGAGATTTGTTCTGTTTCAGTATTGGCTCCGTGGACAGGTAAATACAGAATTTTGTGGGTCAGCCTGCCAGCTCCACTTCACTCACCAGGCATCACACTGAGGGTGCTCCTGTCATGTCTCTGGGAAGTCTCGAGGCAGATTTTCCTGCTGCTCCATCCCAGAGTGATTTTCTGTATTGCTGCTGTTGGCATCCGAGTGCTCAGTTGTGAGGAACATCACCTGTGTAGGACAAATCCTAGAAAAAAAAACCCAAAACAGCCAGGTCTGCCTTTTGTATGAGAAATTGCATTCCAGCCAAACAAATCTCACCAGGCCCAGGGCACGGGAAGGTTTCTTCTGTTTGCATCAGAGGAGTGCCCAAACCAAGCCCCAAATAGGCTGTCAGGCAGCGTGGCCAGAGGGGCTCAGGCAGAACTTGGGGGGCTCCAACCTGTCCTTGCTCAGGTGGGGTTATGGTTTGACACTGGCACAACGTCAGTGCTTTTATGAAAATGGACTTTTTTTTAACTGAATGCTGTGAGCTGTGATTAGGAACAGAGCAGTGCAGGCTTGAGCTTAAAAACAAAGGAGAAAACTTTATTATTCTACAACTGGAACAACAGGAATACACAGAATTTAGGATGAAACCCTTTTAAACATTCCTCTTCCTTCCACTCATTTTCTACTAAAACACAGTGAGGCACAACTTGGATTCTTGATCAAGTTACTATTCTTTAGATAATTGATTTTTAGTTTATCAAGGGAGAGAGGAGTTTCTCTTGTGTTATAGATCTCTAGGAAACACAATTGTAACTTTTTGTGTTTCTATGTCACACATGGTACTGTCTGGAGAAAATTTGCTATTGTGACACTTCCCCTTCCAAGTCACAGTGCTCTCACCACTGTGCATGGACTGAAACTGCTAATAGGGTTTCTTTTTCAGGATGTTTTGCTACGGACTAAAAGAATAACAGCTCTTTAGTTTTGGGATAACAGTCCCCCCATTTTTTCCTCCCCTGGGGCTGAGGGTCTCAAGAACAGAGTTTGTTTTGTTTTTTTTTTTTTAAGCTAGAGGGTACTACTATACCCTCTTTAACTTTTTTTCTTTATTTATTTTACTCTTGTACTTTTTTTAGCTTAAGTCATTGTATCCTCTTAAAAATGCAGTCTGTGTGTTGTAGGAGAAAATTGGTTTAGTCTGTAGCTATACAAGAAAAGTCTAGCTAAAGCTACTCTATTATTTCTTTCTACTTAGGGTTTTTCCCTCATTTTCTTCTGACATTTCAGGTCTTGGGCTGTCTCTCTTTTAGATTAAGCAGGAGGAAGGTTTTGTAAAGTTTTCTTTTTTCAGGATAGGGTTAAAAGCCTTAAGCTCCCAGCACGGTTGAGATCTTACAGCAGGCTGCTGAACTTTTATGGCTGAGCACTTGCTTTTCTCTTATTTTTGTTTTCTCTGCAGTGTGCTGCTGGCACATGATATTAAATTTTTAGGTGGAACGGGCTCTTTTTTCCTCTCTCCCTCTCTCTCTGTGGGGTTTGCTTGGGATATTTTAAGTGTTTTTTTTATCTTTCTGTCTTGTGGTGGGGCTGGTTTGGTTTTATTCCCTTCACCCCTCTTTCTTTTCCTGGGGCTCTGCTCTACTCCAGTTACAGGTGGTGTGGCTTCCCCTCTGTAGGTGTGAACAAAGGGGGTTAAAAGCAAAGAACCCCCAAGAGAACTCTCTCTTCTGTTCCAGCTAATGCTTTTAGTGGCCACTTTAAGTGTTAATATCGAAACTTGATAGCTGATTAGTTTGACTCCAACTCTTTGAGAAAACTCACTTCTACGTCACACTATAATAGGTGGGCAAAGGCAAATCTGACAGCTGAGTTATGTGCTTGACACTCTCACTCAGCCCTCTTAAAATCTGTCTAGAAAAATGAAAGTGTGCTTGGGTTTAGTCAGTTTATAGCACTGAAAAGTGGTTTTAAGGTATTCTTCAATAACTACATCGTGAATCAAGGCTTTATGCCAGAGTTCTTTTATGCAAGCATTGTCCTGATGGACAGTGTTCACCTGAACTATTTTAATGCCTCTGTTTTTTTCTGAAGTTCACATTTATTTTGCTGGATTGCTGTGGATGTTCACCCTCACACCTTTGGGTTTTTTTCTTAATTCTACAGCTATGATACCTTCTTTTTTGGCAGTAAAATGGCCTGGCAGTGAAATTCTCTACAGCACTAACCTGGCTGCAGAATGGCACTTTTCTTGGAGAGTAATGCTGCTTCTCCCAGCCAGTGCTGCACTGTTCCTGATGTCTGTGCAATTTTTCACTGCATCCTGCAGCCCCAGAGTCCAAGGCTGCCTCTCAGGGTTCTGGAGGAGTGCTGTGTCTGGATTTTTGGCTTCAGAGTGAGAAATGGACCCAATGCTTTCGCTGTAGCTTTGTATTGAAATCTGACATCATAAATCAAGCTGATTGATGTTTTGCTCTACTAAAATCTTGTGGCTGCAGGTAGGAAGAGCTGGGAGCACATAGTGTAAGGAAGTTGACAGTGGAGACTGAAGGTTGTCCAGCTAAAGCTGAGTGTGTGGCTCTGACACCGAGGATGGAAAACTGTCCACTGTGTGGGTGTTAGAGCTGGGTGAGCTTTTAAAGCATGACAGCAGCAGGGAAAGAATCAAATGAAAAGAATCAGTGATGTGAGATGAGATTTGAGCCCTTTCTGACATCCACACGTGCTCTTTGTGTTGTCAAATCCTGTGTGTAAGCCAGAAGCTCTCCCTGTGGGTCTCAGATTCAGTCAAAGAAAGAAACTGAGAGTTTCTAGCCAGGCAAAAAGCCTGGGAAGGAGCTGGGAAAGAATGTAAATAATTCTTTATCTCTCTTGTTGTTCACATTGTTTATAGTTAAGTTCTATCACTGTGTGTCAAGCACTCTGCACCAACGGTTGGGTTGTTTTCACTTCAGAATCGATGGAGTTGGTCCTTGCAGAGCTCTGTATAAAAGAGCAGTGTATTTTGAATAAATCAGAGTTCTACTCTCACAGCCTTCTGAGTCAGAGTCTTCTCATTCCTGTCCTGCCTCAATAGTGACATCTCCCTGATTATTTTGCAGGTGGATGTGATATTAAAAGCCTGGAGGCAGGGCTGAGCACCATCGAGTCGTTGTGGCTGCTCTGCACAGGGAGCGTGGCAGGAAACACTCGCTGAGCTGCAGGAGAAGGGCTAACATGAGCCTTGGCCCTGCCATCCTCTGGGATCTCCGGGGACACTGCAAGCACTGGCAAAGAGCCGAGAGCCATGGGAGCAGCGCTGAGCGAGGCTGTGTCCCAGCCAAGGAGTTCCTCCTGTGTCCCTTAAGAGGATACCCCAGGGCTGGTTTTCTAATAAAGACTTCTGATCAGACCATCTGTAGACTTCCGGTTTAATGTAAATATTTATTTAAATTTTTGTCTCTGACAGCAAAGCATTTATCTCCTGACTTCCCTGCTATTCAGTGCTGAACTGGGTGTGCATTTTTCCTAAGCTAAGGAAAACCCTCCCTGTGATTCTGTAATTTCCAAAGGAGCAGCATTGAGTCACTTATGTTTTTCTTGTGTCCATAGCTTTAGCTTGACTCGTGCTCAAGGACAGGAATGACTCAAGAACTGTATGTGGTGAATTGTTAGTTTGGCAGGGTTTTTTTGCAAGTTCAGGGCTAAAATGTGATATAAGAAAAGGCATTTTTTTCAGCATTAGAATTTTGCAGCATTGCAGCTTTTCAAGCTTTCTAAGTAAGTCACCTCATTCCATTTTAAACTCTCTTGAAATATGCTTGATATGTTTTTTTGTTCCACACTGTTATATTAGGTTTTGTTTTGGTTTTATTTTGTTTTCTTTTTTGCCCGGCTTAGGAAACTTTAACAGCTCTCACTTTTTTCTTCTCCAGTTGAGTATAGTGTTACCTTCTTAATTCAAAAACCATTTGCTGTATGGAAAAAGCACCTTGCCTTTGTGAAGGGCCAGGTGGGAACTGTTTTAATGGCCAGTGGCACAGCCCTGTAGCACACAATTCCCAGGAAGTGGGGAGCCCTCTGCCAGGCAGAGCCACCTGGCCAGGTTCCTGCGGGTGCTGCTG